GTTGTGTGTTTCGGGGGAGGGTAGATAGATTGTATTAATAGATAAAATACCAGTTTCAGTATAGTTTGGTGGAGAAATCTCATCTTCAATAGCAACAAACGGAATGAACGAGGCTGCAACCAGCCGCCCACCCAGTGTGTCTAGTTGTGTGCGCGTGTTGTTGTTGTTGTTTTTTTAAACCTCTTTTTTTTTCCAAAGTAGTTACAGATGAAAAGGAGCTCTTATATATTACTACTACTACTCTTCATCAAAAAATAATTTTAATGGAATGTATTATAAATAATGTTATGTATATATGTCAGACTGTAAAATCAGTAATTTCATGAAAGGACTAAAATTAATGTCTGGCGATTTCATGAAATAACTTAAAGTTTTCTATGTGGTTGGGGTTGAATTAAAAACTTTTGAAATTAAGTTAAAAACCTTTTATTAACAATAACGATAAGTTTCTCTGTGGTTGGGAATTAAAACCTTAAAATTGAAAATGCTGTACCATATTTCAAAAGCAACAAATAGAGTCTAATTTGTTAGAACAGCTCAAATAGTTGTGGCATCGGCTGTTTCAGACAATTTAAAAGACCTTAAACCAATTGCATCATTTCATTTGACTATTACACAAGTATTTCACGAAACCCGGTCGTCCAGATATCGACATATTATTATGAATCACAAGATGTCTTAGAGAAATCTCAGTGTCTTAATTGATGTCATTCTCGATCTCGCCCAGGGGCCGTTCGGGACAAATGTAACACTGATTGCGGGAACATCTGCCTTTGGGAACATCACTTCATGTAGCTTTTCAGTAGTTGTTTTTGTCATCGCGACTCATAAAAACAACAAGAATGTTTCGCAGATCATCACGTCCTCGATCCACTCAATGAATCGGCACAGCAACTTTGTCTCCTATTTTGCCAGCAACAAGTTCAACTCTGCTACGCTTAACCATTCGTTCTGTTTTGTCAGTTAGTGATGCACTAGCTGCCAATCGCTGATTGATAATGTCGGATTGTCGTAGGTCAAGTTGTCAGTTGCAGGAGGCTGATGGGTAGGCGATGTCTCTGACTCTTGGTCGTCGGTTGATGGTTGCCGTACTGACTCGTCTCTTCAGGATGGTGGTGTTTCTTCGGATTTTGTCTTTTCTGGTGGAGCTAGAATTGCAAACAAATCTTGTTCTGTCTCTAGTCGGGTGATCACTTCGGTTGGTAGTAATGTTGACGTTCAAATGCTACAAGCATGTCTTTGATATCACTGTTGGCTCTCTCAACATAACCCTGCCATAGACAATCTTCAGGTCGGGCTACAGGGCCGCAAGTTCTGTAACTATGGCGGTGGTAAACTCAGATCCATTATCCGATTGGAGAACAACTGGTGTGCCTACTCAAAGGAAGATGTCAGCAAGATGGAAGGATACCTCAGTGGCTTGTTTTGATGTAAGTGGTCGTAGAATGCAGAATTTGGTCAAATAGTCTAGGTACACCAAGATTCATTAAAAACTGTTGTGGCTCATAGACTGCATGTAGACCAGGTCAAGCTGTCCCCTGAATGCAAACTCGGTCTTCAGTATCGGTTTAACAACCATTCCCTTGGTCGAGGGACGTTTTCTCTTTTTCTGGCATTTCTTGGCACAATGACTTGGATAGCTCGACGTCATCGCTCAAAATATGAGTATACTTCACAGAAACTTCCTTCATCATTATATCTTTACCACCATGGCCAGTTGTGCTTTCTTAATGACTTGATGATGTTAAATGTGTCTTCTATGGTGACGTAGTAAATTGGAAGCCCGTTGGGTGTACAACGTTTCTCTATACGTTTCTTCACATCACCACATTTAAAAATGTAATACTTGTTGAGAAGCTGATATTCAGGGCGGGACTTCATCTTTGAACAGTCTTTTAAAACCGGGCGAGGTTCGTCCATTGAGCACGGTCGTGCAGTGCCGCCCAAAATGTTTAATGTTCTATTACGAAAAGCTCCCACAAACATAAAATAAAAGAAGTCAGAAGCAAACACTAGCCAAATATTATTTCAAAACAAGATCGTGGCTGGTGCCTTAACTGTCATTTCTGTATCAGAAGCGCCGGAAAATATTTACTATGCCATGCCAAAGTCCTGGCGCTTTAACTAAACATAATAGGATATTCAACTGTGGTAACCTGACCTATAAATCGCTATTTGGGATAACCCAAACGATGACGACACTCGTAGAGAGTTTGGCGGTACATTAATATTAATAAGACGGCACATCTCAAATGCGCACCTACAAAACATAGCCCACAGTAGGCAGTCTAAAAATAAACGCGATAGACTGCACACTATTCTATGCCAAAATTATGAGATCCTCGGAGCAATTCAGCGGAGTGCTCAAGTGAATTGTGATTGGTTCATTGTCTAGCCACTATTTTAAGCGACCTCTGGGACCGTGAACCTGAGAGAGGAGAACTTGACATACTTAAGTCACCGTTCTGCTTCCTGTGAGTTGTGCCTTTGAATGGTTTCGTAGTGGAGTGTTGAAATTTATTACTAGAGTGTTCAGTTCAAACGTAGGATGAAGAAACTGATGTTTAACTAACAAACCGATTTAGTTCTAGAAATCAAAGCGAAAATCCATTTACTATGCCCTTGACTATCTTCAACCTGCTATAGCTTAATTGTGCACGCCCACTTTTTAGCCCCACGAGCTGCCCCTGTAAAAAACATATTGAGTTACACAGGTTGACTGAAATCAGTCAAACTGTGAATAAAATGTAACTTAATTTCAGTCATTTCACGAAATGACTGATTTTGCAGTGTGACTGTAACATATACATAAGCCTTCAAGAACATGTAAACAAACTGAACAAAAGTGCTTACAAAAGTTGCAAAGATCACAACTTGAAGATCAGCACGGGCAAAACCGAGGCGATGATTCGATGAAAATGTGATTTAAAAAAAAATACCAGGCAACAAAATATCAGTCGACAGCTGCAAAAGCAAGAAAGTAGAAGATTTCAAATACCTGGGAAGTGTTTTTACCCAAGATAGAGAAAGAGATACCAGAATCTGTTTTCAAAATGCTGTGAATAAGTTACTAACACCATTGCATCAGAATGGAAACAAAGCACCAACCCATTGACAGAATCTTCCCGCCAACACCTGTGCTACCAAGCCCAAACATGGACAATTGCCAAGAGTCACTGAAGTAAAATAAACGCCTGTGAGATGAGATGCCAATAAAAAAACTTCGAACACTTTAAGAAGAAAAAGGGTGAAAGATGAAATTGTAAGAGAAGAAGCTGGTTCAACTCTCTTCTTGTCATACACAGAGATAAACAACGAATTACATTGTAAATGGTTAGGAACGTTCTCTCAAGACCACCATCAGACAATAACACAGTTAGTAACGAGAGCATACAGCCGGAGATCAGATAGGGACAAGGAATTTAGATGGATAAAGGAGGGTTGGAGACACTAAGCAAGAGCAACACAATCAAGACCCAGGCAATATAACAAACAAGAGAAATATAATAATAATTAGGCATGTATTAGCTTGTCCCCTCGACACCACCAGGTCGCAGAGGTTGGAAAGAAGTAAAGGTAAAGTGAATATAATTGTACATGTAGTCTTTTCCAAGACGTTATTTATCAATATTGCATTTTTGTACAACAGCCATCTTTGGCAGAAATATTTTTTTTATGATATCGTTATGATGTTTTCAAGACGATTCTGACAATAATCCTGAACATATCCTTCACATGAAGAATCTAGGACTGGCATCTTGGAAAAATTGAATCTAAATTATAAAAAAGAAAAACGTGCACTCTACCATCTCCAAACTAACCTGATCGAAACCTAGTATAGACTAGGCCTATTGCTTGAACATCACGTGCACAGCGTTTTACTAATCAGGTGAAGATATTTTGAAGGCTTGGGAATAGGAAAAAAGTAAAAAAAAAAAATGTTAATACATAATATGCATGAAGACCCACCGAATCTGCAACCACCGGCACCACTTCATCGCTTTTGGAGTTCTGAAAAAAAAAGATTTTGTCTCATTTAAACTTGTTGTTAGGGTTGCCGTTGATCTTACTGTTGTTGTTACTGCTGCCGCTACTGTTGCTGCTGTTGCTGTTGCTGTTGTTGTTTTTGTTGTTGTTGTTGTTTTTGTTGTTGTTGTTGTTGCTTTTGTTGTTACTGCTACTGCTGCTGCCGCTATTGTTGTTGCTGTTGTCGTCGTTGTTGTTGTTGTTTGTTTGTTTTGTTTGTTTGTTCGGACGGTGACGTGTGATGTGTAAATGACCGTGGTAGTGGTTAGGGTTTCATTTATTCAAGTTGAACGATTTTGAAGACGGAATAGAGTTGGTTTGGGGGAGGGAGAGCAGAGTGATGTTCAGAGATAGGGGGAGAACAGAAGCCGGTAAAAATTATGTTGTGAAAGTAATTGTAGGGGATGATTGTACAATCAGGCGCTCGTCAAAATAAAAACATAAAGGGTGAAATGTTAACTCTTTGAGAACGAAGCGGACAAATACGTCCGATCAGCAGTACGCCAAAGGCAATGTTGTAGCACATTTTGACCCATCTTACACAAATTAGAAACAGGAACTGCATTTCATTGTATACTCTTTGTTGCTGGTTATTTTAAAAAAGACTGGAAAAATGTGAATGAACAACGAAGTTATGCTTCTTTTTGAAAGCGCCCCCAACCCGCATGTCTTTATTAAGAGTTTTGATGATCAGGAGGCACGTCGTCAAAGAGTTAAACATATTTTATAATGTAATAAAACTTTACGTACTCAACTCTCAACTAACTGTTTTTGTCGTACTTACAACAACGACGATGCAACGACGACTACGACACCGACGACGACAACGACGAGGATGATGATGATGATGATGATGATGATGATGATGATGATGATGATGATGATGATGATGATGATGATGATGATGATGATGATGATGATGATTACATACCACAATGATTTCCAGTGTCATCATGGAATCATTACTGTCCTTGGCCTCTGCGGATGTGAGGAGGTAATGTTAACCGCAGCTGCCTTGGCGTAGTCCTTTCTGTTTTCTGATCTTATCTATTCTTACCTTATCTTCTTTTCAGCTCTATCAATTACCGTTTTCTTATATTTTTCTCCCTTAAATTGTTAACCAGCTCGTTTCTTTTATCTTCTTCTCAGTCATATTCTTTACCTTTATTCAATTTTCTTTGTTGTCGTTGTCTTGATTATTTTTGTTTGGGTTTTTTTCTTTTTTTTTCTCTTGTTTTTCGGTGTGTGTTGTTGGTCGTTGACCCATTAGTCTATGCAGAGACGCCATGAACCCAACTCTTCCACCCCCAGCAACATATCGGGAGGTACAACCAACTTCATGGACTTAGTACTCTGCTGAACACGGATTCTTTTTTTCTCTTCTTTTTTCTTTCATTCATTTCTACAGAGAAAAGCACAATGCAGCAATAAATACAGCACTCACCCACAAATGGCGGCACTACCACCTTCATGGTCCTAGTCTTCTGTTCACCCCAGACAGACGACATCTGGACCTCCGCCAACACACGACAAGTGCCCTGGGCGCCACGGGGACATGAAAAACTCGTGGTGAGTATTCAGATAATATGTGAGGCATCGTGGTGAAATCAGGCGCTCGTCAAAGCAATGAAATCAAAGGAATCTGCATTTTCCGACGCTTTGGCAATTTTTGTCCAATTTCTGTTCTTTTGTTGTTGTTGTTTGTTTTTGTTTTTTTGGCTCCCCACCTTTTATGTTCCTTTGAAAATGCATTTCTGTGTGGATTTTTCATGAAAAACGTTGATATGATTAAACGCACAAAAATGGTAAATATGGTAAATTGTCAGTTTCCAAGTACTCTCACGCTTTGGAAATCACCAAACTTTGACGGCCATTTTCTCGCTAATTTCATTTCTGAAACCAGGGGACACCTATCTTCCTCAATGCAAATATAATCTTGACTTCAGCTCAAGATAGATGGGTGTGTTTTCTTCGAAAGCAAGATCATGCCGAAAAATTGACGTGCGCCTGATTCCACAGCGTCGTGACACATATATTCATTCCTTGTGACTATGTAACCATGTCCGCTTCGGTCAGAATTCTTAGAGCAGCCCACTTGTTTCGCCCCCTTTGTCCTTCTTTGATTTTGGGAAAGAAATTATTTTGACCAAAGGGGACATGGTCACTGTAAAGTTTGGACGTTAGCTACTTCTGATGAAAAAGTGTATTAAGATCAATAGTTGTTTTGTTGGATAGAAAATATGTTTCTGTTAGCATTTACCAAATGTCATGTCTAGAATTGTTATAAATGGTTAATTTTACAGAACAGGAAAACTAACTTTTCGGACACACCTCGTACTACTACTACTACTACTACCCCTCCCCCCCTTTCCAGGGCAGTGCTATTGACTAAAGTGTGCTTAGACCATTCGCAAAGGAAAGTTCTTACGCACAGTAAAATTGAAAATGGGCTGATTTATCAATGTCATACGCTTACTGTGCCGGAACAACATAAGGGGAACTGTTACATTTTCTTTCCTCATCCTTACTATCGTCATTTTTTCTCTACTTCTTTTGTATGTTTGTCACTCTCTTGTGAACTGCTAATTACGGGGTGCCTTGATAGTCGAAGCAGACTTTGTGCTGTTGAGGCTGGTGAGGTGAGCAGAGTACGCCTGATTCCTCGTTTAGGCTCCTCGGTTGACATCCACCCCTTGGCGCTCAAATGACATTATTCAGTTGAGAGCAAAGTAAAAACTTACCAAAACTACTACTTCTAATAATATCGACGACGACGATGCTGCTGCTGCTGCTGCTGCTGCCGCTGCTGCTGCTGCTGCTGCTGCTGCTGCTGCTGCTGCTGATGATGATGATGATGATGATGATGATGATGATGATGATGATGATGATGATGATGATGATGATGATATCACCAGCCCAACCCCCTTCCGTCTCTACGTGCTGGAGACAAAGAAACTAATTGCAGGAAAAGATGGCGGTTTGGTGGCAGATGCAACGAGCAGGCACGATAAACGTCCTGTTTTGTCAGGGGATAGATAAAAAATTGTCTTGCTGCTGTTATTGCTGTTCTTATTATGCTTCTTTTTCTGTTTATTGTTGTTTTGCTAGTTATTGTTGCCGCTGTCGTTGTTGTTGCTGTTGCAGCTGTAGTTGCTAACGTTGTTATATTGTTGCTGCTTGTGTCGTCGAATTTTTGGTTGTTGTTTTTGTTGCACCTGCTGTCATCATTTAGCTTGGAGTGAGTCAAATGTGTATGGAATTAGTTGAAATGCTGAAAAAAATGAAATCAGCTACGATTAAAAGATATCTCATCTTTACATTAATTTCAATTAAACTTCGAACAAATAATATTCAACCAAGGAGGTGTCAAATTAGTCAACAAAATGGGAAGAAAATCCACAAACGAGTTCGAAATTGTATTAGATCTAAGTTTGGACATTTTAAACAAAAATTGAGTAAAAGACAAGACTTTACATCTTCTTAATAATCAATCATATTGTGTATTCGAGCTTTAAAAAACAAATTCATGTGTAACTGACAATGCCAAAGAAACCCCGAGATGGTGGTGACTCTTTCAGATAATCTTCAGGTGTTGACCATTCTCTCCCGGGAACCTCGAATATCAATCAATCAAGCAATGCCTTTCACCCCTGGTAGGGCCACATACCAGCTCCTTCCATTCATCTCTGTCCTTGGTCATCCTTCCAAGCTCGTCCAAGTGAGCTTCATGTCTCTCATGTCCCCTTTCCACGCATCTCCTCCATGTTTCCTGTGGCCTACCCATGCCTCGTGCTCCGGTGGGTTCCACTGCAGTGACTGTCTTGTGATGTTTCCTCTGGGCTTTCTGGTGGTGTGTCCCATCCACCGCCACTTACATTGGCCTATTTCTACTTCCATATCCTTTTGTCCTGTCTTTCCCACAGCTCTTCATTTCTTATTCTATACTGTTGATGAAAGTCAAGACTTTAGAGCCGGGGTCCACAGCGTCACCACTCACGCTTCATCACAAATTACGTACCTTAACGTAGCGGGTAGCCCGTGTCCACAGCGTCCTCACAAGTACGGTAATTTTTGGCGCACCAGACCTAGGTATAAGATCTAGAGAAATGGCGTGAACAAGGAAGAATTTTTTTTTATAGTGGTGGTTGAAGAGGGGGTATATGCAAGGTCACCGCCGATTCTGGGTACATCCCATAATATACAAAGAACGAGGCAAAACAGGAGAATTTAGAATGTTGCATCAAATTCTTGATGATAACGAAACATGCTGAGCATGTTTTCGCATGACGAAGGCAAGCTTCCAAAGCCTTTTGGAATTATGTAGACCACGTATTCAAAAACAGAATACGAACTGGAAGGCCATTCCACAAACTGAAAAGCTGACAGTTACACTGGTGTAAGATGTTGCTATTGCTGCTGCTGTTGCTTGCTGCTTCTGTTCTTGTTTTTTTGTTCTTTTTTTCCGCTGACGTCATTGTAGTATATTATGACCTACGTAAATGGTCTCTACCTTAATCCGTCATTTACGTAAGAGCCCACTCTGTGCCTCCGAAAGAGCGTGTTCTTTTCAGGTACATTTGTTTACTTTGAAAAATGGGAGCAGAAATAAACAAATAACAAAACGACTTACAGTCTATTGAAATACAGAATAACAAATTCAATAATTAACTATGATGTAAACATTATTGACTATTCCAAAATTGACATGTCAAACGAAGAAACAAATCACCCCCCCCCCCCCCCCCCCCCCGAAAAAGAAAAAAATAATTTTTAAGAAAATTTTAATCACAGTTTGGAGACTGAGAATACGAGATCAAAGTCAAATGGGCATTAATTTAATTTTAAAGGTAAAAGTGGGCAAATAAAAGATAATCAACGAAATCAGTGTCGGTGAAGCCACAACAATTACGGAAAATGTTAGACATGCTAGACATCATACGTTTTCCAAGTAAGGAAGTGTGTCATCCGCAGTGGGCCCAGGCAATATAGAAATAAAAGGTTGAACGTTTCCATACGCACATTGTGAGTACGTAAGCGTACGAAAGCGGAGTGTGTGGACCTTGGCTCTTATTCGTACTTACTGTCTTTGTTGTCTTGCAAGATTCGCAGCCGTCGTAGAGGAGCACAGACTTGACGTTGGAGTTAAAGTGTCGAATCTTGGTGAGCTGTGAGATGTTGCTGGCTTTCCAGACTTTTGGTTATTGATTGAATGTTGACCTTGCCTTAGCGGTTTTTCTTTTAACATCCGCCTAGGTTGCACCTTTACCATCGATGACACTTCCAAGGTATGTAAAGGAGTCCACTTCTTCCAGGGGAGTGTCTTCCACTGTCACAGCAGGGCTTGAAACGTTTCGTAGCTTCACTACTTTCGACTTGCCTGGATGCACACGTAGGACAACACTCCTTGATAGGCTGTTGAGTTCCTTGGTCTTTTCTTGCATCTGAGCATGTGTGTGAGAGAGCAGTGCAAGATCATCAGCGAAGTCGAAGTCGTCCAGCTGCTGCCGAGGGATCCACTGTATTCCATTACGCTTGCCTCTGGTGGCTTCTTTCAGTCAATTGCCAGTATGAAGAGAAAAGGTGAGAGCAAAACCCCGAATATGCCGATGGAAATTTCGAATGAACCCGTTACATGTTTCTGTGATAATACTCTAGACCTCGCGAGAAACACTGAATTTCAACTGTTTCACTATTTGTTAGATTCGTGGAGTCTGTCGTTTAAAAGAACGGAAAGAAAGCATTGTACTTTGAATTGGTCATCTTTTTGACACGCTGTTTTTGGAAATTATGCCAGGTTTAACTAGATTTGTTATTTATTAATGCATATAATATACACATTAAAATAATTTAATATGGTTGTGTTTTGTTGTTGTTGTTGTTGTTGTTGTTGTTGTTGTTGTTGTTGTTGTTGCGTTTCACTCAGTTTTGGTCGAAATGTTAAAGACCTGATGTTTTTTTTACCAGATTAAAAACTGATTTTCTTCATATTTACGAATCTGATGTTTCCTTGGTTGAATTTTATTTCTTCCACATTTTGTTGAAATTGGTGCTAAGATGACCGAGTCAAAAAAGCCGTCTGTTTCCTCACCGATTTGATGACGTAGATGTAGTCCGACTCCTCTGTTTTTCTGGTGATCACGTGACCTGCCCTGCGTTCACAACAAAACAGTACACGAACTTCGTTAGGTCAGACATTGTCTGTAGTATGTCTTTGGGTTCAAACAAGGCTTATATGGTCGCTTTTACGCACAAGGAGGCTATCCCGAAATATGCTGTTTTGAGAAAATCGAAGGCCACGTTTTTGCCCCTCGCTTAGTTTCTTTAAATGACAAGGAGAATGTTCTCTATAACCAAACAAATATACACACCAATGAAACCAAACTTCTCATATCGGTAGGGCACTGCCCACTTTTGGTGTGGGTCAAGGTTTCTGGAAACTCCCGAAATCTGGGCTAGCCTGCTTGTTCTTAAAAGCAACCATATATAATATATTAACTGTGCACACTTATGTCAACGAAAAAATGTTACTGTGGAATCAAACTCTGGTTTTCTAAAGCATCCCTCATTTACTTCCCTTACATATATTTTTTTGTTACAAGAAGGATAGTTTTATCGTATGTGATTTATATACAGAGGCGTCCAAATATATATATCTCTCTCTCTCTCTCTCTCTCTCTCTCTCTCTCTCTCTCTCTCTCTCTCTCTCTCTCTCTCTCTCTCCCTCTCTCTCTTCTGGCGCTGTGGCGTCATAAGCGGTCAGATATGCCGACAGCATGCAGGAACTCAACACTTTCTCGAGGGTCCATAAAAAGTGCTGAACGTGGGTCACTGAAATGTCCCAGCAGACGTTTTCTGTGGCGTTCGAATGAAGCCTAAAAATGTATTGACCCAATCATCGCGCTAAAGCCCTGCACTATCAACTCACGTTTAAAGCTAAATGAATTCTGTATCGTCTGCAACACATTTAAATGTCATCTACGATAAGAGTCCAAAATTTGGCACAGTCCGCGGCCAAAAGGTATAAATATATATACCTAACTAATATGTAAATATATGAGTGCTCTCGTGGCCTAGAAGTTAAGGTGTTTGCCTCCTACTCGAAGGTCCCGGTTCGAATCCGAGTAGCGACCGAAAAATTTACACCTCTAAAATTGTCTCTTTTCACCTCTTTTCCTGCTCTCTAGCAATGTTCTGTCGTCTGCTTTCATCTCCCCTTTCTGCCCTCACCTCCTCTCCTCCTCTGCCCCCTCCTCTGGGCTCCTGACACTTTCTGCAGCCTTTCTACTGCTACTCCTTGGCTCGTTCTTACTGCTGTCTTTCAGCCACACCCCTGATCTTCTGGTAGGAAAGATCTACACCTAGCCTTCTTGGACAAAGGCCGAAAATCTCGGATGGCCCGTGTGCAAGTTGCGCACCTTAAAGATCCCTTGGCGGTCTAAAATCGATAAGAGTAACCTTCGGCCCCCCCCAATGCAAAATTCAAAATGTCCTACCTACTGAAAAAGTTGAATGTGTCCCGCGCGCTCATATGACCTTATGCAGTTGCAAGCGCCGTAAACTACTTACCAAATAAAACAAACAAACAAACAAACAAAATATATATAATATACATCTTTTATCATTTTGTGGTGGCATAATTTTGCTATTCAAAAGGCTTTTTAATGGCCGCATCGATAGACATGCAGTTTTCGCCAAAACATTCTTTAAAATATTCTCCAGATCATGACGTCCTTCGGGTTTTTTTTTCAGTTTTGAAGCAGTTTTGGTGCAAAAAGCTTAATTTCTTTATTTCGCCAATCGCTTTTGTAGGCCGACGCTTCTGTCTCTGTAATTTTACAAAATCCGCCAGGTTTGTTTATGTCATACTTCCGTTCGATACTATCTCGCATTGTCGCGCAATGCTGAGCACTATTTTAAGTGTGCGACCGTATAGACCTTGCCCCATGTTTTCCCTTTTTACTTGGTGCTAAATTTGACTGTGATCCTTTCGTTTGATGCCCATCGTCGCTTTTTCTGGACTCCTTTTTCAAGTTCTTTTTCTTTCTACTGGGAACAATGTCCACACGTCTTAGTTTAGAATCTAGATTCTAGATCTAGATCTAGATAGCGCCTGACCATGCAAAAAGAAAACGACGTTCTGCAGTTGGAACCCCTCGCGCTCGCAAAAATCGAGGAAGTAGGCCAATGACTTTCAGTTGATGTTAATATACCGATCATCCCTTTCATCGAAAGGGGCCCCTGCTAGTATATATATATATATATATATATATATATATATATATATGGTCTTGTCTAGAGCACGAACCCTTTGGGCACTGACTGTGCCAAAGTTTGGACTCAATTACATTTCAATGTGTCAGATGATACAGAACTCATTTATCTTTAAACATGAGTTGGAAGTGCAAGGCTTTAGTGCGATGATTGGGTGAATACATTTTACGGTTTTATTCGGACGCCGCAGTGTATTATACACAAACAATAAAACTATTCTTGTAACAAAGCATTTTCTATACAAGGGAAGTAAATGTAGGATGCTTTAGAACACCAGGGTTTGATTACACGGTAACTTTTCTTCGTCGATACAGGCGCGCCGTAGGAACGAGCTGAGTGAACTGCGCAATATGAAGAATGTAGGGCAAGGGTTGTCTTTGTCTTTTTTTTTTTTTTTTTCGTCTTTCCGATCAGGCGACTATCTGAGTTCTAGCCCTTCGGTCTGTCGATATGACAAAGAATTTACAAGCTTTTATCAGCTCTGGTTTGTCACTGTAAGAGTATTTCTGATGTCTGGGGAGGCAGGTAGGTAGGTACTACGCAGGTCGCTAAGTGCAGGTCAGGTAAAGAGGTGGTGTAATACTGTTTCATCCTGGCAGTGACACAATACAACGGACAGTCGGGTAGGGCATCTTTCCGAATCACATTTAGGTAGGAATTCAATGGGATGTGTCGAGTTCGCAGGCGAAAGATCGTAACTTGTCCTCTTCTTTTAAGGGAATATAGAGCATCTTTTTCAGTTGGGAGCAATCTCGGGCAAAGTTTCGACCGGCCAACTTACAAGATTTCCTTTTTTGTCTTTCGTAAATTATACTGACATTTAAAATACTGACCGAGTAACAAGAAGTGTGATCACAAGATATTGTCATTGTCAGTCATGGGTGATTTTAATGCAAAAGTGGGAGCAACGAGACATGAAGACATAGTGGGTCCATATGGACTGGGAACCAGAAATGAAAGAGGGGAAAAACTGATAGAATGGGCCATCATTAATGACATGATTATTGGAAACACTTGGTATGAACAACCACCAAGAAGATTATGGACCTGGAAGAGTCCTGGAGACAGCGCTCGCAAACAGATCGACTATATCATGATCAAGAAAAGATACAAAAACGGGATGCTAAATGTCAAAACGCGACAAGGTGCAGACTGTTACAGTGACCATGTACCCGTAGTGGGAAAATTTAGAATCAGATTGAAAAAACCCCACACATAAGCAAGAACAAGAATATGAAACTAAACATGGCATTACTACAGTCAAACAAAGAAATGCAAGATAAATTCAGAATAACTGTACAAAACAAATTCGGGCCCTTAGAAGAAATACAAGACTTAGAAAAACAATGGGAACAGCTTAAAACATCTATAAATGAGGCTGCAAAAGACGTCATACCAGAAAGGACAACAAAAGCAAAAAAGAAATGGATGACTGAAGAAATTCTTAATCTTATGGAGGAACGAAGAACAAACAAAAACAATATGGAAAAATATGTGAATCTTCATAAAGAAATCAGACACAAATGTAATCTAGCAAAAGAGACCTGGTTAAAAGAAGAATGTGAGGAAATGGAAAATCATTCCAATGCGAACTCAAAATATCTACACAGAAAAATTAAAGAGGAGTGCCATACAAGAACACGTGGATCAACAGGATGCCTCAAATCAAAGGATGGGAATAACATAATGGACAAAGACAAGATACTAGAACGTTGGACAGAATATATCGGTGACCTGTACAATGACAAAAAAGATGAACAAAGAAGAGTGGAAAATAACAACGAGGGACCACCAATCATGAAAGAAGAAGTTATCAAGGCACTACGAAAGATGAAGAATGGGAAAGCTGCAGGACCGGACAACATTACCACAGAGATGAGTAAAGCTTCAGAAGACTTTGGAATCACCACGTTGACAAAACTTCTTAACAACATATATGCCACTGGAAATATTCCGTCAGACTTGTCAAAATCTATTTCCATAGCTTTACCAAAGAAACCTAATGCAAACGAATGTGAAACGCATTGTACCATCAGCCTCATGAGCCACATAACAAAAATATTACTCAGAATAATTATGATGAGAATACGAAATAAAATTCTCCCAGAAACAGCCCAAGAACAGTGTGGATTTATTGAAGGCAAAGGCACTGTAAATGCCATATATGTCATCAGAACAACAGTAGAACGTGCCCTAGACGTTCAGAAAGATCTTAATTTATGTTTTATAGACTACACCAAGGCATTCGACAAAGTCCGACACGACAAGATCATCGACATGCTGGAAGTTCTTAATATCGACGGGAAGGACTTAAGGATTATCAAAAAGATGTACTGGGATCAAACTGCTGCAATGAGAATAGAAAACGACATCAGCGAATACATACATATTATTAAAAGAGGAGTCAGACAAGGATGTGTACTTTCTCCAGACTTGTTCTCCCTGTATAGTGAAAATAACATGAGACACATAGAAGAAATGCCTGGTATCTCGATAGGGGGACATAATATAAACAATCTAAGATATGCAGATGACACAGTCCTAATAGCAGAAGATGAAGAACACCTGCAGAATCTATTAAATGTCATCGTGCAAGAGAGTGGCAACATGGGCTTAAGCCTAAACATCAAGAAAACCGAAACGATGGTGATAGGCAGAAAAATTCCAATCCCAACATGCAATATCAAAATCAATTATACCACCCTCAAGCAAGTACAACATTTTAAATATTTGGGGACCATTATATCATCAGATGGTAGATGTCACACCGAAATTAAAAGCCGCATTTGCCAAGCAAAAGCAACCTTCCACAAGATGAAACAGATACTAACAAACATCAATCTGTCACTGAAAACGAGGAAAAGAGTACTGAAAAGTTACATCGAGCCAATCCTGTTATACGGGTGCGAATCGTGGACAATCAATAAACAGCTGGAAAGAACAATTGTAGCGACAAAGTTGTGGTTCATAAGACGCATGCTACGTATCCCATGGACGGCTAGAAAAACAAATGAAGAAGTCCTGGTTGAAGCAAATTGTAGAAAACAACTTATCACGAATATAAGAAAACGACAGGCAAATTTCTTCGGACACATAAATCGGAAAAAAGCATTAGAGAATATTGTAACAACAGGAAAGTTTGATGGAAAGAGAGGCAAAGGCAGACAGAGGGAAAAGATACTGGACAAGATGACAGCATGGCTGGGAGCAGCTGGAAGCAGCTGAGAGCAGCTGGGAGCAGCAAGAACAACAGACACCATTGCTGCATCGAAAGATAGATGGAAGTGGAAGTCCATGATCGCCCACGCCAGTCGGCAAGGCACCGGATGATGATGAACAAAAAGTGTTCTCGACACACTAGGTATCGGTAGTAGACGCTAGATTTGGGAGTTTTTTGCTTGTTAATCAAACCCAACATTGTTGAGAGAGCTGAAAAGAACAATTCACCATGCTAGAAAAGCGACGCGGTTTCCCCACACTCAGAGCACAGTTCATACCAACTTGCAGCCAAACTTATAATAACCAAGACCGCTCTTAGCTCTCTTTTTAAAAAAAGAATCCCACAGCGCTGGAACACACCATGGGTGCTCAAAAGAAGGTGAAACGCCAGTCTCGCTAAAGTCGAGTCTCCTATGCAGTTGCGAGCGTCGTCAAACCTTTCTCAAACTAAAAGTTGATCCATATTAAGTGAAATATTGCGCTCCAACGTGAACGTCAGAGTACATAGTCTTGGGGAGTCGTTCCCCCAAACCGTCCTCTTTGCTCTTAATTTGATTTCAACATAGACGAGCTTAATGGAGAACCTTAATAGGTCAGGGTGCAGAATTTTGAGTATCGTTTTATTATAACAAGTCTATGTTCCCCCAACTCACGGAAAGTAGAAGAGGATAATGTTTCCATCTGCTTCTTCGATGAGTTTTTTCATTGGGAAGTACCGCATGAAGTCAAGCTGGCTGTGGAAAAAAGTGGGTGGATGGGTATCTGTTCATTCATTCAATTTTCCATGTATGTATGTATGTATGTATGTATGTATGTATGTATGTATGTATGTATGTATGTATGTATGTATGTATGTATGTATGTATGTATGTAGTATGTAG